ACTATTCCTGTCAGGCTTTGAATGATGTCGGTAATGATACCTCATCTGGAGCATTGCTGACAGTCAACTGTAAGTAACAAGCAGACATCCCTATTTTGATGTGTAAAAGAGGTTCTAGACATGTTCAACATTATTCTTGCAGACGGCGTAACCATATTCGTGAATCCACAACCCGAGAAAAGGATTGAAGGAGAATCGGTCACATTTACATGTGAAGTGGAAGGCAAACCTGCTCCTAATGTAACCTGGCTTGTAAACGACAACCCATTGACTCTAGAGACGAGTAGGATGAACGTCTCTCAACCCACTACACACGACAGGACGGTTGTTAATCTGACGATCAATGGCTTGAAGAGAACAGATGAGGGTAGTTACAGCTGTAACGTGAAAAACAGTTATGGTGAAAAGAATTCAACTGCTGCAGCATTGACTGTCAACTGTAAGTACCTGATATCAACGTTCAGTAATACACTCTACAAAATTTCTCCATTCTGATTGGACAAGAGGAGTACAATTAAATCCCAAATTGTACTCTGTAGGGTCCCAATAAAGATGCTAAATTTTTTTGAGTGTATTATAAACAAAAAATCGCTTACCGCTTTTTTTGGCCGGAGTTAGGTGAAATTATGGTTGATGGCTTCAATTATAGTTTACAGAAGGGCGAAATGAGTATAGAAATAGAATAGAAAAGGTATTGCCTTGTATAATAAACCCTAATCAAACTGGATATGTTAAATCGCGATACATTGGAGAAAATATTCGATTAATCTCGGATATCCTGCAGTACACTTTAAAGCTAAACATTCCTGGAGCAGTCGTTTTCGTTGACTTTAAAAAAGCCTTTGACTCTTTAGAATGGGATTATATGTTTAATGTTCTTAAAAAAATTAATTTTGGTCCGCAATTAATCGCTTGGGTTAAAACGTTTTACAGTGACATCTCAAGTTGCGTAATAAACAACGGATATGCTTCAGATTTTATCTCTTTAAAGCGTGGTGTTCGACAAGGTTGTCCCCTGTCCGGCCCACTTTTCGTGCTTGCTGTTGAGATGTTAGCATATGCCATTAATAATAACTCTGAAATTAAAGGCATCAATATTAGATGCAATGAAATTAAACTTACGCAATACACCGACGATACAACATGTTTTAAGGAAAATGAAGAATCTATACAAAATCTCCTGAAGCTATTAGAAAGCTTTAAAACCATTTCGGGATTGGAAATAAATATCAATAAAACCGAAGCGATGTGGATCGGCTTGGATAAGGGCAAAACGTCTCATCCCTTCGGGTTGAATTGGACCTCGGAACCCATTCTAGCTCTCGGTATTTGTTTTACGTATAACAACGAGTTAAGCAATCAATTAAATTTTTATGAAAAATTAAAAAAACTAAAGAGCTCCCTCTGTGTTTGGAAAAAACGTAATCTATCCCTTTATGGTAGAATTAATATTGTTAAAACGTTAGGGTTGTCAAAACTTATTTATAACGCGTCCGTTCTACAGGTACCAAATAACTGTTATGGGACGACCGCTCTCGGTACGAGCTACGGGATCTTTATTCTACTTTCTCTTCTTCTTCACTCTATCTCTACTCTTCTGACTTAAACTAATTACATRAGCTCTATTTATAATAACTTCATGACAGGTGTCATTCTACAATCAATATGATATTATCGCTGAGTCTTGATTGGCTAATGGAAATAGTGAATTCCTAAGTGTGATATCTTATTTAAGAATAATACAAGTGAAAATCTTAGAACTAAAAATAGCTTAAACTAAAGGTAATATGTGAATATATTGTAAATGTATAGAAAGGTCTACGAGGAATAATTATATCATAAGATTTAAAAGAATAGTGCTAAAATAACTAAGCAAAGAGGTAAAGAGTGTTTAGGGTGTAACCTGAGGTATACATGCTAATGGAGGAGCTAAGAGGTTTACTTGTAAATTCAAAGCATACCATCATCTAAACTTGTGCGTGATGGTAGCCTTACTGAAATCTTCTATCGATATTTTTAATAACTAATTGATCGTTCTTTATCTTGTTTTCATACGATAAGAAATAGTAAATAGAAAACTGATGTCTAGCTTAGTCTGTAAAAACAATAATTTTCTCTCTCATAACATAACTTTGCTACGGAAGTAGATAAGATCACGTTTAATTTCATTTGGAAAGACAAACCAGCCAAAATAAAGAAAAGAACTATAATTGGCGCTAGAGAGGAGGGAG